TTCGAACCCACCAGCTACTCTATAGGAGAAAGCTGTGGCATTCTGTTTCCTTAAAGACGATGGCTTTAGAAATATTTGCCTTGTTGGCAAACATTCATAATCTTGTATTATTTGCACAATATACATCATGCCATTAGGTCAGTCTGACTTACAGTTACTCCACAGAGCTGAGTAGAACTACTCCATAAATTTTCCAAGGCTGTCAATCTTCACTGTTCAGAAAGCCTCATCTTTCTCCTTTGGAGCAACTGATGGGCTTGAACTCCAACCATGTGGTTACAAACTCAAGGTTTCCCAATATATATCAACTGTGTGCATTTATTGTTGCTAGGTACCATCAAGTCAGTTCTGATTCATAGTAATCATTTGTATAACAGAAGGTAAGAGGGTACAATCCTGCATCATCCTTACAATCGTTGTTTGTGTGAGCCCAATGTTGTAACCACTGTGTGTCTGAGAACAGTTTGAAACCACCGGCTGCTCTGTGGGAGAAAGATGGCACTTTCTACTCCTGTGAACAGCTAGTCATGGAAACTCTCAGGGCTGGTTCTACCCTGGTCTACAGGGTTGCTATGAGTCGGCATCAACTCAATGGCAGTGCATTTTTCTGAGTCTTTTTTCTCTGCCTTCCCACTTGGCCAAGCATGGTGTCCTTTTGAAGGGATCAATCTCTCCTGATAATATGTCCAAAATATATGATATGACCTTCTCCCACTTAGTATTATGGCTGTACTTCTTACAAGACAGATTTGTTTATTCTTTTGACAGTCCATGATGCTTTTAGTATTTTTCACAAGTGATGATTGTCAATTTGCCACACTATGGTGATTTGCATGTTGTTATGAATTGGAAGCTATGTCACTAGTATTTCAAATACTAGCAGGATCACAAGGTGAAGAGGTTTCAGCTGAGCTTTTAGATGAAGAGCAGACGATGAAGAAGGAATAAGCTGTCTACTTCTGAGGAAGTAGCCACAGAAAACCCTATGGTTAGAAGTACACTACTGGTATATACATACATGTATATCTTCCCGCCACACTTATTCAACATGGATCAGGATTAGCGGAAGACTTAATAACTACTCACACTAAAGTCAATGGTGAGGAGGGCATAGAATGCCTGGTGGGGTTCAATCAAATGCAATGTAGCCCAGAGGACATACAGAGAGCCAAATGAAGGTTGAACATGACAGTGGGACAGGAGGTGAGTAAAAGGAAAGAGAGGAAAGAACAAGGAGGCAAAAGACATTTGTGAAGTTATAACCATAGGCATGTACATATGTAAATATATTACTATATAACAATAGGTCACTATACATA